CAAATTTTAAAAGTTGCATATGACATTGGATTCACATTGTTAAGTTCTTATATACTCAACTGAATAAGTCTGATGCTCATTAAAAGTGTTATAATGCTCGTAATAGGTCTGATGCGCATTAAAAGTACATTAATGTTCATTTAACAAAAATTGTAATTTCATCTACTTAGATTCATGATGGTGTGAATTTCCTATTATGTATGTTTGTATTTTAACTAGTTATATTAGTTCTAGTTGTGGAAATTACAAACTTTTGATGCAATACTTTATTTTCATTAATTATTGGTAATTTATTTAGATTAGGATTATTCTGAGTTTAGGACAGGTCAAAATCATCCCAAGAATCAAAGAATGGATCTTAAAGACAAAAGAATGTGCAAAAAGGAGAAGATCAAATGAAGATTTTGAAATTTGTTCAATACTCGGTCGAGTATTGCCAATACTCGGTCGAGTATTGGCCGGATACGTTGGTCAAAATCAAATCTGGGAGCAAAGGAACGTGGCTGAATATTTGATGAGAATCTTGTCTCATACTCGGTCCAGTATTGGCAATACTCGGTCGAGTATGCCTATTTTTCACTATTTCCTGAAAATTTCCTCTCATACTCGGTCCAGTATCCGATATACTGGATCGAGTACAAAACCCTGCCACCTCCATTTTGCTATAAATACACCCCTTTTCCTTCACATTAAGATGACCAATTCTCATATACTTCTAAGCTCAGTTTAGACAAGTATTTCCTTTACATTTTCCAGTATGTTTAGTCTCCAAATGAGGAGCTAAACTCTTCCATCTCGGTTTTGCTACTTTGAAGCTTAATGAATTGTAAGTTGTGAGTTATTTTCTTAAATCTTTTTCCTTGAATATTAACTCTTCCTTTAATCTATCTATATATTAATGTTGGGGAGTGTTACTAAGATGACAATTAGTTAACGTCTCTACATTAGTTATAGTAGTATTCATTTACTTCCTCTATATTAATGTTGGGGAGTGTTGCTTAGATGACAATTAGTTAACATCTTGACATTAGTTATAGTAGGATTTATCATCTTTAATATTCTTCCTTGAATATTATTTAATTTCCATTCATACTTCATATTAATATTTTGAGCATTACTTAAAGGATCGACTAGTTTTGTTTCATATATTAATTATCACTAGAATCGATTGACGAATACGCATGTTAATCGTTCGGTCTTTTCCGTGGTAGTAAACTTGGATTATTAATGCATGCATCTCATGGTTAATAATCTATGGGGGATTAATTATATCGATTGAACTAATAAACCGCTTGTGTTGAGATTATCAATCTCAATCGTTTTCATCTTAATTTTATTGCTACTATCGGGTTAATATACGGCGTGTGTTCTATATTGACTCGGTAGTAAGTTTTATTAATTAACGTGTCTCGTTATTAATAACTACCCTCGATGAATTGAATATGCTCTTCGATTGAGTATTTGAGAGGAAGATGATTAAAGATATAACCGGGATCGACGAACATTTCATTAAGTGGATAAAAGCAAAACCAAGTCCTCATCTATTTTAATTGAACTCATATAAATCATTCATCTTAGTGCTAATTTAATTAAACTAAATCAAACTTTAAAACCCCCTTGTTACTAGTTACATAAAAAGAGAAGTATTCCTTTCCGTGTGGATACGAACCTTACTTCGTTATACTACGTATAATCGTTGTATTGATATTTATTTTGACACACATCACGACAAAGTGCTCGTCAATTCACATATTGAAATTCGTAAGAGTTGATTATAAATATAATTTATTAAGTTTTTATAAAAGAAAAAATAGTAAAAAGAAAGTCACTTAGAAGTTATGAAGCAGAGATCACGATTCTCAATATTAGACTTCTAATACTCAACACAATAAGCCCAATGCTCATTAAAAGTTCATTAAAGCTCATTTAGCAGAAACTGTGGCTTTTATCTCAATAACGAAGGTTTGATGCTCAATTAAAATATTGTGATGTTCAACTAACAAATTCATTCATACGCATTTTGTAAGTTAGGTATGCTCATCTGCTTGTGATCTCATGCTCATTTTGTAAATGGCATATCAATGCATTTTTAAAAGTACTATTCTACATTAAATTCACATATTGAAATTCATAGGAGTTGATTATAAATATAACTTAATAGTTTATAAAAGAATAAATAACAAAAAGAAAGTGAATTAGAAGTTATGAAGCAGAGATCACGATTCTGAATATTAGAATCATAATACAATTCATGTCAATAGCGGAGGTTTGATGTTCAATTAAAATGTCGTGATGTTCTTCAACTAAGAGCATCTTCAATGGTACAATGTGCACGGTGCACATGTGGCATAAGAGATAGCCACATAAATATTAGTAAATAAATTCTTTCTCTCCTTATTTAAATGATTTTATACAGCATTGGTAAGTTTTTCTCCACAATGTCAAGGAGACCGTCTAGATGTTGGCATTGTTGTTGACATTGCAGAGAAAAACTTACCAAAATTGAATAAAATCATTCAAATAAGGAGAGAGATAATTTATTTGCTAATATCTATGTGGCTATCAATCATGCCACATGTGCACCGTGCACATTATAGCATTGGAGATGCTCTAACAAACCTTATAATTTTCATATCAATCTGCAATTTGTGAGTTACGTATGCTCATTTGGTAATGATATTAGGCTCAATTTTAGAATGTTATATCAATGCGTATTTCAAAAGTATCATATTACATCAGACTCGCATATTGAAATTAATAGGATTGTATTATACATATAATTTAATAGGTTTTTATGAAACAAAAAAAAGAATTAGAAGATATGAAGCAGAGATCGTGATACTCATTGTTAGTCTCATAATACTCAATACAATAGGTGAAATGCTCACTAAAAGTACACTATTGCTCATTTCGCGGGAGCCATGATTTTTCGCTTAAAATACAAAAACGTCACCGAAAAAATTAGGCTGTTTTAATTAAATGGACTGTATTTCTTAATTGAGCCTTTTTTGTGGGCCTTGTTAGGTTCTTTTTCTTACTTTTTCTTACTTATAATGAGCATTACACAAATATCAAATGAGTATACATACTTACGAAATGAGCACCAAAAAATTCAGAAAGACCATCTAAAATTTATTCAAACGAGAGAGCTTACGGCCCCCTTTTTTATGGCCTGATCTACAAGAAATCTGGTTACCCCGGAATCAATCTCTGTTCCCTTCGTCATTAATTAGAGAGAAACCAATCTTTTACTTTAATTGCTCATTCGCATTAGTTTAGTTTTCATACCAATCAAATCTCACACGACACATTTTTAAGTGCGAAAAACCAATCTTGACTCCATTTTGTCCGTCCATGTGGAGACGATACTCGTACTTACACTACTATATTACAATCTTTCTAAGTGCGAGAAAACTCACATCAGTATTCTAGACGAGTAATTTTCACAAAATACTTGGATGTACGGTTCTCACCCGTACACCCGGGTGTATAGTATAGGAGCTGTCCAAACACCACCCTTTGCCATCCTTGAATGCACTCGGCCTCAATATTAATAATAATTAAAAAAAGACACATGAACAAGAGCAAAATAACGTAAAAAAACAAGGACGATGTTATTTAAGTTTTATGATATATTCTGATTAATCTTTTTGATATGATTATTTTTTTTATTGCTTTAAATATTCCAAAATAATAACTAATCTAATAGGGAGTACTAATTTTTCTATACAACTTAATTTTATTTAAAAAATAAAAAACTCATAAAAATAAGACTAACCAAACAAATTCATGCTTTAAAAGATTCGTGCTTTAACTTTTATTTTCTTTCGAGGATTACATTTCAAATTTCAAACGTTGAATCAAAACACTCAGTCAATTGTCATGTTGAGTGAACTTACAAATTTGTCAAATTTTTGAATGAGACGTGACTGTATGATATAGAGAGCTGCTTGGAGTACCCCGATTTGTACCCCAAAGTGTACACCATCTGTGTACACAGACATTTGGGCAGAAAATTCTGTCTTCTTTCAAATGAAATGTCTGTGTACATATACAATTCAGGGGTGGGTACAAATTGCGTTACGCTAGAATTTTTGGTATGATATATCACCATTTCCCCAACTAATTTCAAAATAATGTTTGACCATCATTAATGTTTGTAGGTAGGTCAAGGTATGATATTAAAATTACGGTTGGTTAATTAATTCACACTGATTGGAGTCATTGCTTCCCAAAAATGCATTGGCATTGAAATGATGACATATATATTACTAAAATAAATACAATCGGAAAAATATGACCTCATATATGTAGTGATTATTATATTAGTAAATTTAGTTACTATAATTATATATGAAGTACTCCTTTTGTCCTATTAGACTTTGTCAACTTTCACTTTTTAGTTGTCCCAAAAAACTTTGCCACTTTCTCTTTAAAGCAACTAATGTGTGGTTCTGCACATTTCTCTCTCCTCTGCACAAACCTCAACCACACAATTTTTACTATTCTTATTTCTCACCTATTTTGCACTTGACAAAGTCTACCGAGACAGAGGTAGTATAAGTTTACTTTATAATGATGATAAAGTTACATTAATTATATTCTTGGGATATAACTAAAATATATTCCATTTATCTAAATATGACTATATTTGTTTTTAGTATTCTTATAACTAAAATTAAGAACGTTTACGAAAATGTGACTAGTGACTAGAATAGTAATGAAATCATAGTAATTTAGCTTCAATTTCTAAACTTAAATTACCATAGAACTACGTTCTAGTAATTATTAGTTATATTTGTGTAAATAAGATTTATGTTAATAATATTTTTGAAAAAAAAATGTTTAAAATTTCGATTGTGGAATCCAAACACTCCTTAGTATTCAATGATTTGCATTTCACGTTTTATTGATTTTCCAAAGAAGGCATGTATGGTATATCACCATTAATTCCCAATCCATTTCTGAAAAATATAATTAATCGCCATCATTAATGTTAGAAAGCAGGTAGTGTCCGCTTCTCTCAAACTATAAGAAGGCCGCAAGAAAATCATAGTGTCCGGCCTCAATCATACAAATAAGCAAAACAAAGTGAAAAGCATGGTTATGGATCAACACAAATTATGGGTCGTTCTAGCGGTGTTGTCACTCGCGATTTCCGCTGCGGACTTATCATCCGCAACGAAATTCCCGGTGGTCGATTTGGTCAATCGATTCGACGAAAATAATGTAACTTTGTTATGCAAGGCTTTCGAACACACCATACTGTCAGGCCAGAAATTTTCATTCGAAGCCAAGGAGAAAAACGACCCAAATGCCTATGGTTGCGGCTGCTATGACAGTCACGAAGGCAAACTGGTGATCGATGCATATGATCTTAAAAGAGATAAACAGAATCAACTCATCCATTGGAAGTTTACCAGCATTGGAGCCTATCTTAGTTATGATAATATTCACTGGAAATTAGAAGCAGAGTGGGAATCTGATTAATTAATTGCTTTTATCTTCATTTTTTGTTGTTGTTTCTGATATCAATCAACATTATTATAAATCCGATTCATCTTCATTTTCTTTAAGCGGATGGAATATAGCTAGTATATACGGAATATTGCAGTACCAAATAAATATAATAATTAAAAAAGATAACTTTTTGGTATATGACTACAATAAAGATCAATTAAAAAAGTAATTAATGACTAGAGTAACAATAAAATCATAATAACTTTTGTTCAATTCTTAAACTTAAATTATCATGACACTACATTATACTACCTCCGTCCCTTAATGGTTGTCCACTTTCAATTTGGCACGATTATTAATAAAGTGGTTGAAAAGTAAAAGTTGTGGTTGAGATTTGAGTAGAATAAAGTGAATTGATAAGAACCACATATTTCATCCAAAAAAGGAAACAAGACATTCATTTTGGGACAACCCAAAAAGAAAAGTAGGACAACCAAAATGGGACGGAGGGAGTTGTAACTATTAGTTATATGGAATTTTATCAACTCAGAACTCGAAAGATATAATATAGATGGATTAGAATTATCGATCCGGGACCCGAAAGATGAAACGTATCGATATAGTACCCGCATGATGAAAAACTATCAATTTAGGACCTGAATGATTAAAAATTATCAATCTAGGACCTAAAGTTGTCATGAATTTTATTATTATTTTTTTATTTTAAAATTTAAATATTATTTAGGTTTATTAAACTAATAAACTTCTGTGAAGGAAAGTTATAATTAATTAGCAAAGGAATTAATAAAAAATTAAATAAATTAAAATCTATGAAATGTTAGGTCTTAGATTGATAGTTTTACATCATTCAGGTCTTGTATTGATACAATTCATCTTTCGGGTCCCAGAATAATAATACATTTATCTTCGGATCCTGAATTGATAAAATTCCTAGTTATATTATGTAAATATGTTTTATTTTAATGATATTTTTGAAAAAAAAATCATAAATATATTACTCATTGCTCCCTAAAATATACTCCCTCTGTGGCTAAAAAAAGTTCCCTTGTCCTTTTCGGGATTTGTCCCAGAATAAAGTTCCTGATTACTTACTTTCCATGCATTTTGAGTAAAATGACCCAGTTAGCCCTTATGTAGTTATGTTTTACTCCTTATCTCCCACACTGTGGACATGTTTATTTTTACTAAATGGTGCTTATTAAGACCCGCGTTTTTTTTAAATCCTGGGGAGATCTGACTAGCAAGGTGGTTCTGGGTGGGGACCAGGGAACACCCCACCAATTTATTGAATTCAAATGGTTAAACATAGTAGGAGGGCCAAACCAAAGCCTACTCGGAAATTATAGTACATATATATGGATAGCTAATAGCATCAAATTTGAGAATACCAACAAAGTGATTAAAATGATGGGAATTGGTTTTAATCGAAGTATTACGATATGCTAAGTAATCAGCTGCTCTATTCATTGCAGGGTGGATATATGGCATCGTCCACTTGCATCCTCTTAGGTGTTTTTTGTAGCTTGGATTCTCGACCAGTGTTTCCAGTGTTGGATATATGGATTCTCCCATAATACCCTCATAGATTTCTTTATTGTCCACCTCCAAAACAAATTGAAGAATGTTAGTAGTTTTTAGGGGGGGATTAAATAAGAAATAGCATCATAAGTAGTTGTGGTATTGTGATGATTAGTAAGGTAAGTAACATGACCAATGTAAGTGCCAAATTCATCACGAATGATGGCTGCAGTACGGTTAAGATTGGGAGTGATGGTCCTCCGACCACCCGTGTTAATAAGCGGCGCATAAAATAAACAATGTTGTAAGATTGTGTTTACTTCACAAGGTTTAAAACACCGTTTAACATTAAAATGTCCAAAATAACCGTATACATATATAGATGCACAAACATTCATGAACACAGATATATAATATAATATGTGGGGTCACCTCGAACATGTTCCCTACTGCTAACCCCTTAGCCCGCCCTATACCCTCACGTACCCCCACCCCAACCCTACACCCATTCCACACCCTTCTTGATCCCTATCCTACACGATAGGGAGTGGGTGGGGGTAGGATGGCGGTAGGGGTGGGGTCGGGACCAGGGTGAGGCCGAGGTAGGGGCTGGGGTATGGTAAGGGCTAGGGGTGGGGCCAAGGTAAGGGCAGGTGGTAGGGAGTGGGGTAGGATCGATGTTAGGGGTAAGGGTGGGGATGGTGGGTAGGGTGGGGTGGGGGTAAGGTGGGGTCAGGGTAAGGTAGGGGTAGCGTAAAGGCGATAGGGTGGGGTCGGGATGGGGCCGAGGTAGGGGTAGAGGTGGGTCGGGGTGTAAGGTAGGGTAGGGTGGGGTCGGGTCAAGGTTAGGTAGGGAGGGTAAGGGGGTACGGTAGGATGTCGGTAGGGCGGGGCCGAGATTGGGGTGGGCCGAGGTAGGGTAGGTGTGTTGGGGTCAGGGTAACGTAAGGTAGGGGTAGCGTATTTGGCGATAGAGTGAGGTCGGGATCGGGGTGGGGAAAAGGTAGGGGTTAGGGTGGGGTGGGGTGGGGTCAGGTAGGATGGGCGGTAGGGCCGGGATTGGTGTGGGCCGAGGTAGGGTAAGGGTTGGGGTGAGGTAGGGTAAGGTGGGGTTGGGGTAAGTGTATGGTATGGGGGTGGGGGCCGGTACTAGGGTAGGGGTGGGGTCTGGGTAAGGTAAGGTAGGGTAGGGTAGGGGTAGATGACGATAGGGTGGGGGTTGGGTAGGGCGGGTCGGGTGGGGGTAGAGGTAGGGCAAGGGGTAAGGTACTAGGATGGAGGTAGTGGGTAGGGGTGGGGTCGGGTTTGAGGTAGTGGGGTGGGGGTAACGGGTAGAGGGGTAACAATAGGGTAAGGGCAAAGAGTAAATTCGGAAACTGAAAAAGCTTAAAGTGCCGCTTAATTAATATATGAGGGGGTATGCTTATTAAGCGGCACTTTAAGCACCTCTTTCGGTTAGTAAGCGGCTTTTTTAAGCTGTGTGCATGTTTACTTCACCCGTGTTACGAACCTAACTGTGACTTTAGCAGCGAAGTAAACGCCTCTTGACTCTCTCTAGACACGGAAGGATTTCTCCACTACGGCTGCGTTTGTTTTCTAGCAAATTGATATCTACCCGCTGCAAAATGCAGCGATTTGTAGTTCAAATGAATTAGCGGATTAGGCAAAACGCTATTTACCAAACGGAGTCGGTAACGGGAGTCAGGGGCGGAGGGAGGGGTGGCCTGGCTGGGCCATGGCCCAGAGTATTTTTTTCTTTTTTTGTATTATATATGAATTTTAAAAAAAATATTTAGATTTGGCCCAGTGAAAATAGATATTGGCCCAGTGCAAATAAACTCAGTGCAGCCGTGCAGGGCTAAAGAAAAGAAGCGCAGAAGTTCTTCGGCAGAACAGAGTCTCAACTGACAGACGTTTTACACTTCTACGCATTGCAAATGATCAGACCACTCCGTCCAGTCGCCAGATAGCAGACGCCGCCTCTCCTCCGCTCCGCCGCTCGCCCTTCGCAGCTACGTTCCTGACCTGCTCACCTGCTTTTGAGCTTCTCCAGTTCTCTCGAGGTAAGGGGTTCACACTTCACATTTTAGTTTTTGTTAGTGAGTACTGACTTGTGTTTTAGTTTAATTTAAGTATTTAATTTAATTTAATTGAGCATGTTCTTCACACTGCAATTTTTACAATTCTTAGTTTAATTTGTGTATTTTATTTGTTATTTTAGTTTGTGTTAGTGACTTAGTGTGTCACAATTGATTTGTGTGCTTTGAATTGTAAAATGAAAAATTAGGATTTAGGAATGTAAAATGTGATTTGTGAATTTCTTAAAATAAAATATTAATATGAATCATGAGTTCAATTGCTCCGACTTAGTGTGGGTTTGGATTCCAAAAATTCATTTGAATCATATAATGCTGATAATAATATCTACAAGCTTGCTTTGGAGTTTTATCCTGGTGATTTCCAGGCTCAAGAGAGGTATGCTTTGAAGAGTGAGTTGTAATTCTATAAACCTCACATAGTTCAAAATTTTCAGTTTCAAGTTCAATCTCGAAAGGCAGAACACTTCAAAATGGTTACATGATTAATTCATCTTGTATTGACTTTACCTGCTTCGACTGCAACAACAAAAGGATCATTTTCTGCAATGAAACTCGTAAAGAATTAAATTTGTAACGAGATGAAAGATGAATTTCTTGCCGATTGTTTGACCATCTTTATTGAAAACAAATTTGCCAAGAAAATCGATGTTGAGTCTGTCATAGATGAGTTTGCTAAGGTCAAAGAGTGCCGTGTTCAGTTAACGTTTAAGTTTCAAACATTGTATGTACTGTTTAAAAATATTACTATAAATTTTAATGGATTTTAATCGTTATGTTCACCCTATTGTCGCTTTTAAAATTTTTATATAATGTTTTTAGTGTATAATCGACTCAGGGTAAGCATACGTCCTAGCTGCGCCCCTGACTAGAGTACTTTGATCGTTGAGACGATTGAAAAATAAGATCTTGAAAATGAAACGTGTTGCCTTTGACAGAGGTTCTCGACAAGAGTAAAAATCGGTTTCCTTGAGCGGCGAGAAGATTGAGAGATGATGGCTCAATGATTGTTGTCTGAAATAGGTGAACACCCTCTCCGGATAAAGTAAGAGCAGGGGAATCAGTGAAAGAAAGGGTAGCGCACGGTGCACCGTGCACGCCGTTCCACTGCAAACGTCAAATGTAGAAGCAACTATAAAAATACACAAAGGATGTTGGCGATGAGGCCGACAAACGGTGAAGGAAAGTGGAGACTGACGACCCATTTAGAGAACATGGATACATCAAACAGTAAAACGGTATTATTGGATAGTCAATATATAAAATTATTCCAACTAAAACGCGTGAAGTCAAACCGAGAACATCATTGAGGGGCTGAGGGAGTGTATAAAATCAGCATTTGTATAATAAAAAATGAGTGTTATATTGAGCAGGAAAAAAAAACAATTTGTACTATACCCATCCGAGCTAAAGATTCATAGAATAATGACATAGTTATTCAAATAATAATTAATAAGGTAATTTGATTATATTTG